CTCCCTGAGAGCATTTAATAGAAATAAATGGGGGAAACTGTGACTCTGTAAGATCCTTTTTTACCACAGATGGGTATACAGAGCCACTTGTCCATATGATATCATCCAGCTACAGGAAAGGAATTCTGCATTTCTTTCATCACAGATAACTCTTCACAGAGTCACCAAGACAGGAGCTGGCACATGGCAGCAGCACGTCATATGCAGGTAATCAAAGCAGTAACTAGCAAGATAATGCCAGGCTCTCCAGGTAATGTGAGAACAGCATGGCAGGACAAGCAACTGGAAGGACAGTGACACAAACTGGTATGGCAAGAAAAGAGTTTTCACCCCTACCCTGGACACTGAGGCACAGGGCAGGAAAGAATTATGGGCAACTATACCTTCCTGAAAACCTGGTCTTGCTCTTTAGAATTCACTGCCAAGCATCTCCACAAAGTCTATGCTGCTGTCCATACTATTCCTGTCATCTTTACAAAGATCTTTGAATTCTAGATTCAGTGATGGCACCTGGGCAGAGGGGGGCCTGAGGAAGAACTCAAGAATGCTGTAAAGACAGAGCCACAGAGCTGAGAGGAGGTACACCAGTGAAGTGGCTAAAACACAAGCAACATTCTCCAGCAGCAGCTGGTGAGCTGAGGAACACAAAATCAACACACTCCTCTCTCATCAAGATCAATGTTGAATTTAACCCTACAGCTGTACCTAGGCAGTGCTGAGTGACAATGCTCTTCCAACCTCCCCCTATGGTGTAAGATTGTTGCAGCTGTTAACAGAAGAATACCTTCTGAGGCCTCCAAACAGGGCCAAATTATGGGATCTATTTCAATTGGCCAGGTGTCCACATGGTCTCATCTCCTTCTATGGTTTCACTCCTTTCAAGGATTTCGTCTCTTCACAGAGCTCTCCACTGGTCCCATGGTTTCCCTCAGTCAGACTTATTCAAAGCTTCACTTGGAAGACAGCACTGCTGTTTAAACGTACAATTTTACTGTAACTCAGCAACATTCAATGCTCCCACAACCTCAGGTTCTGAAGGCAAAGACGATGTGATGTTAATCTCAGCTTTCATCAAGAAAAATAAAGTTTTGTTAGTTCCCCTTGGGTTTTGGAGAAAAGCTTGAGAATATAAAAAAAGAATATTCCAGGCTCTAAACCAAGTAACACATAATGTATTATTTCAAGACACTGTTTCTAAAGACCAAGATTTCACTCATGACTTCTGACCAGAGGCTTAGCTAAGGATTTGAGTTTCCCCCCCATTGCACAGGAGGTGACAGGATGGAGACAAGTTGGGGCAGTCTGGGACCCCCAAAACGCCCAGTGTCTTCCAACAGCCTCCCCTGACCAATGTGCCCCAACTCCACGTTCCTAGAAGATCGATGGCAAAAGCACCATTTCCCCCCCACTTCCTTGCCAATGCACACAGCAACTATGTGAGAACAGCAGCAGGTCTGAACCCTACCAGTAACCAACCTGAACAACAACAGGATGCGTCTTCATTGAGTGTCTCTCCTTTTTTTAAAAACAAAACAGAACACATACTGCATCAGGAAATCACCATAGTCCTCCTCCACCCAGTCACCTCCACTGCTGCTGGCTGTTTGTGGAGGGCTCTCATTTCACCACCTGACATAGGAAAGCAAAAAAATAAAGAAGTCAGAAACATTATCAGCATGGAACTGCTTTGGATGAACTTAATCCTAAATCAAACCCAAACCAGGAGCATTTTCAGCATGGCAGGCACTTTTCTTAGCTTCCAGAAAAGAAGAATATGAGTCAACAGGCTAAAAAATCACAGAACCAGGTGGTGGGAGATGCTGTAGGGGGTTCAGTATTTATGCAGTTGTTCTGCACCTCACATAGGCCTGTTTTAAATGAGCCAAAATACTTTCTGTGTTTGCAGTTGGTACAGATTTACTGGGGGACAACCAGTCCCACCCAGACAGGGCAGAGCGACGGGCCCTCGCGACACACTGAGCGTGCCCACCGCCCGCCTTCCCACGGCACCGGCACCTGCAACCTCTCCTCTCAGGACTGCCAGGGGCGGGCACACCTGGGGGGCACACACCTCGGGGGGCACACACAC